CCGGGGCCGGGACCCCGACCACAAATGTGGGCCCCGGGGGGCCCGGAGGCTCGTCGGACCGCCGGACGCCGTCCAAGATCGTTCGCAGGCGGCTTCGGAACGCGCTCCGATGGCTCCAGATGCCTTCCAAGACGCCTGTCATGACACCAAGAAGGTCCCAGAAGCCTCCAAGACGCTCCGAGAGGCAGCCCAAGAGAGGCCCAAAAGTGCCATTCCCTATGGGACGTATTTTTTTTCGCATGTTCGCCTCTTGGGCTTTCACCGCGTCCAAGACGGCCCAAGAGGCGCCCAAGACGGTCTACGAGGCCTCCGGGAGCGCTCCAAGGCTGCGCACGAGTGGCCCAGGACGGCCCCAAGACGGCCGAAGAGAGCCCCAAGACGAGTTCGAGAGGGGTCCCAGACGGAGAAAGCCAACCTCGAATTCCGAGCTTCCGGCCCAAGAGGCTCCAGGAGGCGCCAAAATGCCGCCAAGAGGCGCCAAAAGGCTCCCAAAAGCACCCCAAGACGTTCCGAGAGGCACCCCAAGAGAGGTCCAAGAAACAAAAATCGTGCCATTCCTATGGGAAAACGTATATTTTTCGCATGTTCGCATCTTGGGCTTTCACCGCGTCCAAGACGGCCCAAGAGGCCTCCAAGACGGCCTAGGAGGCCTCCGGGAGCGCTCCAAGGCTGCGCACGAGTGGCTCAGGACGGCCCCAAGACGGCCCAAGAGAACCCCAAGACGACTTCGAGAGGGGTCCCAGAAGGAGAAAGCCACTCTCGAATTCCGAGCTTCCGGCCCAACATATCCCAGGAGGCGCCAAAACGCCGCCCAGAGGCGCCAAAAGGCTTCCAAAATCAGCCCAAGACGTTCCGAGAGGCACCCCAAGAGAGGTCCAAGAAATAAAAATCGTGCCGTTCCTATGGGAAAACGTATATTTTTCGCATGCTCGCATCTTGGGCTTTCACCGCGTCCAAGACGGCCCAAGAGGCCTCCAAGACCGCCCCAAGACGGCCCAAGAAGCTTCCAAGAGGGCCCCAGGACAGCCCAAGAGGGCCCCAAGACGGCCCAAGAGGCGCCCAAGATGGCCCAAGAGGGCCCCAAGACGGGCCCAAGAGGGGGCCCAGAGGGGGACCACGAACCGCAAGCTCGAGCCTTCCGCCCCAAGAGGCCGCCAGGAGGCCCCAAGGAGGCCCCTCAAGAGGCCCCAGGAGACCCCCAAGAGGCCCAAAGGAGGCCCCGAGAAGCCCCAAATCGGCCCCCAAAATGCTTCGAACCTGCTTCCAGGAGGCCCCCGACAGGTTCAGAGGCTCCCGAGAAGCTACGTCAAACTCCCAGCGAGCGGCCGGACGAGGCCCCCCACAAAATCACAAGAGGGTTCCAGTATTTGTATCCTTCAGCGCTCTCTGGCCTTCATTCCCCCTGCCCCCTTCCCTGCGACTTTCGTTGACTCAAGCTCGCCTCCTAGCTAGAACCTAAGCGCGCGCGAAGCGCGCGCGTGGTTCTAGTGTGCATATACACACGCACTAGGGGATCTAGAATTGGATTGGGACGCACGTGTACTACTGCACGGGAGCACTATAAATGGGAACACGAGGACGGCAAATGGTGCACAATGGGGAGGAGGGGTGGTCTGCAATCGAAACGAAGTGCTTCCTTCCATCCAGCGGCATCGCGTGGGCGATCATGCTCTTACTGACGGTCGTGCCGAACGGTGTTGTGTTTATGGCGCCGCCGTGCAGCGACTGGACGTGGCTGAACTCTTACACAAGTGGCAGGTACTTGTCTGAGTTCGGACACGTGGGTCACCCAGGCGTGAAGGCGTCGAACACGGTCGCTACTGCTGTGTCTATGTTGATGTGGATGTGTCACATGCGTGGCTTATACTACATGGTTGAGCAACCGAAGGACAGCTCTATGTTTAAATTTCCAGCTATGGCCTCGATGATTGAGATGACGAATGGATCGAAGCTGCTCACCTACCAAGGCCCGTTCGGGGCCGCAATCCCGAAGCCCACAGTCCTGCTGCACAATATGGGTGACGAGCTGACGGCGTCTTTGGTGAAACCGTCGCCGCCGAGGGGCTCGATGAAGGCGAACGTGTGTTGGACATCGAACGCTGGGTCTTCAAAGGTGCCCTGGGCCAACGTTACAACTTAAACCGCCGAGGAGGAGAAACGAGGGAGGAATCATGAGGTGGACGAACCACGACAATACGTGACTACCTGTTGGTAGGACCGTGGGGGTGCGGGCCGAACAGGGTGGACGTAGACGTGGAGGACGAATGCGGGAAGGTTCGGAGCACGAGAAGGGAGGAGGCGAGGAGAAACACGAAGGGCGATTCAAGAACGTCGGAGGATAGGAACTGACATGCCGACTCGGTACATCAGTCTTGCGACGGGGGGGTCGGCAGGGGGAGGGCCATGAGGCGGCGGGGTGTAGATAAGGGAGGATGGGGGTGAGGAGGATGGGCGGGAGCACGGAGGGTGGTGGGTGGAGGCGGTGCCGGAGGGAGCGAGAGTGGGTGGCGATGAGCTGGGGCCATAGGGGGCTGGCATACGACAAGCAGTCGAAGGGAGAGAGAGGGGGGGCGACGGCAGGCACGTCCGACCTGAAGGCCACAGAGCACTACCCCACCTCGTTCGCCCAGGAGCTCGCGAACGTGGCCGCGCGGGCCGTCGGCCTGGTGTAGGCCCGATCGCCTCCAGAATTTAGTGTTGAATTCCGTGCCTGCTGGGTAATGGTGCACCCGCCCCCCGTGTACCAACCTGTCGCATTCCTGGCCCCTCGCCTCCATGTCCCGTTTCGATTCCCGTGCGTTCTCGTCGAAACTGGGATCGCCTTCAGCGCCCCATCCATCGCCCCCCAATCTGCTCGCAATTCGCGTCATCGTCCTCGTCCTGATCCCACCCCGTGCCATCCCTCCCCACCATCGCCTTCGTCTTCTGCATCGCGCATATCACCGATTCCCCCTCCCCCCTTTCAGATTACCCCAGCGTCCCCATCGCCGACATCGCATCCCGCATTATCGTTTCCCCCACCCCTCTATTCTCCATCACCCTTCGACCCCGCCCACTTCAGTCGCGTCGAAGGTCCGACGTTCGCCCCACCTGTTGAACACCACCCTCGGGCCGCCCCGCGTCGGAAGCGAGGCGGGGGGTGGAAAGGGGGACGGGCGGGCACATGGCGCCTGACTGGGTGTTGAGCCCACTCACACCACACGAGGGGAAACGGAGAGTAGACGGGCAGGAGGGATGAGGAGGATAAGGGCGGTTGGCTAGGAGTAGGACGGGACTGTGTAGATCGACGAGGGGGGAGAGAATGAGGCAGAGATGCCGCGAAAGAGCGAGAGAGAGAGAGAGAGAAAGAGAGAGACAGGAGAGGTCGGCATAGAGAGAACGAACGAGGGAGAGATAGACAGAGTGATGATTGTGAATATCTATATACAGAGAGAACGGGAGAGGGAGAACGGGCGATATAGACAGATAGAGAGACGCATATAGATAGAGAGAGAGAGAGAGATGGGGAGAGAAGGGGGGGGATAGAGAGAGAGAGAGAGATAGAGCGGGAGAGGTATCGACATGCATAGATGTATATGTAGAGAGAGAGAGAGAGAGAGAGAGATCTAGAGAAGGGGACGAGAGGGATAGAGTGAGAGCGAGTCGGAGGGGGGACGATATATCTATATGTATGTATGTGTATATATATATATATATCTCGAACGAGCGATCAAGCGATATATAGAGAGCGAGAGCGAGAGCGATAGAGAGAGCGATAGCGAGAGATAGATAGAGATAGAGCGAGAGAGATGGAGATAGAGGTAACCGAATGCGATATACATATATATAGAGATATAGAGAGAGGGAAACCTACACACACATCTATGTACATACATATATACGCGTGCCATGGCTGGGCGTCTTGCTAGAGGGAGAGGGAGAGAGCGAGAGAGAGATAGGTAGAGGGAGGGAGACATAGAGACATAGAGGGAGAGATAGAGAGAGCAATACCAATCTATTTGACAGGGAACAGGAGCGCAATGGTCTGCACTGCGTACATATACGTGCAGACATGTGAAAAAGGAACGATGTATAGAGAAGGATCACGATCTATACACATATATATATATAAGGATAAGGACATATACGGGTTCACTTAAAGCAATGATGTGGAGGAATATGGATCGGGTGGAGAGGATGATGCACGATCGGGAGACGATGAGGAACAGTCGAATGCCTTTCCCAGGCCTTTTTGCTGCTGCTGCTCTTTCCCACTCGCCCTCATACCCCATGTTTTTAAGCCTCGCGATCCTCGATATCATTATTATTATCGTTCTGCTTACGTCTCTCCTCGCCTTTTCCCCAACGGGTTGTTTCAGCCTTTGTCCCCGCCTATTCCTTCCACCTTTCCCCCTCCTCTGCCCGCTCCTCTTTTTCTCTTTCGCCACCCCCTCCGTGCCCACTATCCTCGTGCACTATCCCTATTCACTCCTCTCCTCGTTTGCCTGCCCCCCTGCCTCCGCTGCTGCTTCGCGCTGGCGCGGTACCGTTACTGGATCGAGACCGTGACCGTCCCCGCGGTCGCGGAGGGCGGCCGCGGCGACGAGCTCGCGGGCGACGGGGGCGCCAGGCAGAGCGGGAACGCAATCTATATATAGCTATGTATATATATATATATATATATATATATATACGCAGGCTGACGCCGTGAACCGCACATGCCAATCAGAACAGGCTGCACGCCTCGCCCGACGCCCGCGCATGCGGGCTGACGCCGCGCCGCCGCCGATCGAATCGCACGCGTGCGCGCATCAATCATGAGTTCACAGCCATCAAACACTCGAACGCATAAGAATTGACAAAAAACGAGTTTGTCAATTTCAACATAAAACAAGAGTTAGTCAACTTTCGCAATAAACAATAAAGTTAATCAATTTTCAACAAAAGACAAGTACGTAGCCAATTTTGTTACATAAACACAAAGTTTGTCAATTTCATGTGTTTTCAACATTGACTTCATTTTAGTCCTTTCCATCCTCAGGGTAGGCGAAGATAGGGTCAGGTTGCACCTCGCTTAAAACATGGTTGCGCACACGTATAAATCCGCCAATCGATTACTAAACGCCGCATCCATTCCAGTAGAGGGCCGTCCGGAAGGACTCCTGGGCGTCCTGGGTGCCTCGGGGAGGCCTCTTGGGGCCGCTTGGGGTCATCCTGGGGGCCTCTTGGGGACCTCTTCGGGCCATATTGGGTCCATCTTGGGACCTCTTGGGGCCCCCCGGGCGCCTCTCGGGGCCATCTTTGGAGGAGATCGAGCAAAAAGAAAGGAACTTCCATTGCCCCCTTCCCCCCCCCCCCCCCTTAGGAGGCCAAAGTGGGGACAAGACCCTAGTGCAACCAATGAGTTTGGATTCCTCGCGAAGGCAGTTGTTCGACGCCCTGACACCTCGCCGAACCCTCCGCCCATACCCCCCCCCCCCCCGGAGGGGAAGAAGGAAGGGCGGAAGAGGAAATTCTCTAAACCACCGCTCCCGAGCCCCCCATGCGAACTAGCGCGATGTCAAGGGGGCGCGCGGGGGCCAGGTCAGCGTCGCGGCCCGCAGGGCCCGGCGTGGCATTGCGCAAGACCTTCTTCTCCCGCGCACTCCCTTGGCCGCCCGCTTGGCGACAGAGTCGGTCCTTGGCGCAGACGGGCGGACTGGATCTGCGACGCTCGCCCGGGCAACTTCCTGCGCCGCCGCAGCGAGACCGGGGCGGCCTCCGCGAGAAGGCGAGTGCGCTTGCTCGGGGATGCGGCCACCATGGCGTCGATGGCAACTGCTCGCTCGCGGCCGAAGCCTACCTCTGACCGACGTCCTGGCCGAGGCTCCCTCGTGATTTCTGTGTCGCGCCTCTCGGCGCTCCTCGCAGCTCCTGTCCTTCCCTTCTTAAGCGCTCGTGTAGCTGGGGCACGTGCCTGCGCCGGCGCTCGCCAGGCCCGCCCCGCTCGCGCCGTTCCAGCCGCGCGCGCAGCAAATTGCCGGGGGGCGCTGCGTCCACGAGAGCGCAGTCCTCCACGGAAATGCCGAGCATTCGAGCCCTCTCCGGGCAATGGAGCTCAGAGAAACGGCGGAATCGCCGCTCCACATTGCCCGCGGGCGCCCCCCGCACGAGGAAGAGCTCCACCAACCGCCGGCCGCTGGCAAACCCAGGCCACTCCGCTGCAGCGCGGCCCCAAGCCTGCCGCGCGGCGCCCCCATCTCGACGCGCGTCTGGGCGCGCTTCAAAATGCACCGCAGCTGGGCGACGGCCTGCCGCTCAGGAAAGCTTAAACAGGATGGCGACCATCATCGCCATCGACATCAGCATCGCCACGTGGAAACACTCAGCTGACTCAGCTCAAGCCCGCCAGGTGAAGATTGTGCACCAGAGACAGCCGAAGGAAACGCTCATGTGCGACGCGCTTGCAATAACTTCTGACACGGTGCTGCCCAAGGGGCCTCGCACCCTCCAGGGCCAATGAAGACTCCGAGATCTCTCCCACGCTGCCGCGCCTGGAGACGAGAGATTCATCTTAAGACGTTTGAGTCCACTTCTGAGCAATGCAGGGCCGGAAACTCCGGGGGCAACCTGGATGCGATTATCGAGATTCACACGAAGACCCGCGACGCGCGCCTGTCGAGACATCCACGTGAGAATGGCGGGCAGGGGAACAAAGACGTCAGCAAAGGCAACCCTGGCGTCGTCGGCAAATGAATAGAGAGAGGCAGGATGATGCGAGATCCGGCCCTCGAGACCGCGCAATGCAGGGCCCATGGCAAGCGCGCAGAGTAGCCCTGCAAACGGATTTCCTTGCCTCGCGCCACGCGCGATCATCAGCCCCAAAAAATTCTTTCCACTGAAAAAAAAACCCAATTCCACTCCGTCTTGCAAGAATTCAGCCGCTGTCAGGGCGGCAGGAGGGACACCGAGAACTGCATGCATATCGAACAAGAACTGGTGGCTGCACGCCGAGAAAATCTTGATGTCGGCGTCACTAATAGCGAGCGTCCTCGTATCTGGGCGCCGAGACGGTGGGCCCATCCTCCTCCGCATCCTTTTTGGGCAGGATAACCGCACTGCCCCGATTGCACCCATGTGGTGGCTTCTGGCAGTTCGCGAAGGGGGCGCACGATGCAGGTGTCTGTGCGCAACTGGTCCAGCTCAGCGAAGACAGACTCACCAATGAACCACTCGATGACAGGAGAGATAGGATGGGCGTGCAATCTGAGCTCGCCACGAATTCGCTCAAACAACGGATGGGGCGAAGCCGTAGACATGTGCATCGGAATCCAGTGGGCAACAATCTTCTTTGCTGAAGCCTCGGCGCTGTCGGGCGCCACGGAAGAAGGATCGCCGACAGAAAACCAACGCATATTGCGCCGTGCAAGCGGCCGAGCTTTGAGAGGGGCAAGAGACCGCTCAGCACGAGGATCAGACGATGTGGCAAGCTCAGGATGCAAACTCAACTGCGAGCGCTCGGCAGCCGCCTGCGCCTTTTCCTGCGAGCAGGTGGATCTCCCATGGCAGGCGGTTCGCCAATCCGCGGCAGGGAGACGCGATCGCAACCATCGCCAAGCACGTCGTCGGGCAAGCCGTCGGGCAAGTGGCAACGGGGGGGGGTACGCCATCGGGCAAGTCGCCGGAGAACTCCCCCGCTGCAGGCATAAGGTCGCGCAGGCCCCCCAGGGCATCGCAAGCTTCCCCCCGAGATAGCGCGGCCAATTCCTCGTGGCATTTATCACATTGTGTGAACATCATGAAACTCATGTCAAGCAAAGGGCTTGGCGCCAAGCCCTAGCAACACGCATGCATTTCAGGTAGACGGCGATGTGATTGGAATTTGTTTTGGGCCCACCCCGATGGCCGTTTCTGCGGGATACCAGCGGTAGCGAACATGATCTGCTCCAAGTCCCCAAGCGCCTCGCACGGGCCCTCTGAGATCCCCATCCCCCGATGAGCTCGCCCATGAGAGACCCGCGATCAGGGCGTCTGGAAATCCAGCGTGGAACTGAAGGACTTGAGGCAGCTCCTGGACAGATCTGAACAAAGACTGGAACGTGGTCAGAGGGAAACTCAAGATCGCGCGCGTGCCCGTTCACCTCTGCGCGCGCATGCCAGCCCATGACTTCGCCCGTGGGGGCGCTCCAACACCACCGATCAAGGCGTGCAAGGGTGTGCAAACAAGGCTTGTCACCCACGCATCTGCCAGCCCGATGGGCACACCCCGCCCGGGGAATCCCGACACACTGGGAGCCGAAATCAGAGAAGCGATCAAGAAGCACAGAACCGCCACGACGAGTGGGGCTTTCAAGTACCTGGTGCCTTGACTCACCTGCCTCGCGGAAGCCCCCCCCCCCCCCCGCGCGCGCCCCGCCTGCGAGAGATAGCGCTGCGCCGCGAGGGGGTGCGGCACGAGCGAGCTAGAACGGCAAATGGCGCGCTCGTGGTCTACCGAGCTCAAGATCGACCGAGCTCAAGATCCAAGTGGACGCCCCCAATCGAGAAAGCTCCAGAGGAACCTCCCAGATGAAGGACCAGGCAGCGCCCAGCCTGCACACATGAAGCCCGCACTTTGGCGAACGATTGCAGGAGGGAGCGCGAGGCGCCGGCGGCGCCCCCCCCCCCCCCCCCCGAGCGGCAATCGGAACGGCGAGGTCCCACGTGGTAGAAGCCATGGTGATCTCTGTCTTGAGGGAAGGCCCAGAAGCCAGGTCCTGTCCCCAGGAGAAGAAGGCCTGCGCATCCTCTTCGGACTGGAACTTGGCATTATAGCGATACTTGTAGCTCTAGCGTTGGGCAGTGGCGTCGTCCAAGAGAGCCCCAGCTGCTGTCTTCCAGTGGGCGAAGTGGAGCAAGACAACCCTCGACAGGAGATTGCGGGGGAAGCCTCTGCTCCAGATCTTGCAACGGTCTCCAGCCTCGCCGCCCAGGGCCGATGGGGGACAGATCGGGGGGAACAGCAAGCTGACGAACTCGAGCTTTGGCTCCGTCGTGAGAACGCTTAGCGCCTGATGAACGTCCAAACGAGCTCCATGGATCGGAACCTGCAGATGAAGGGGCGGCTGAGTCCGTGGCAGTGACATCGTCGGTGATGGTCTTTCTCCATCGTGATCAGTGATCAGGCGGGCTCAAGTTGGGCAGCCATGGCGAGGGGCGACGAGCCAGGAGACCAAGCGTCGCCAGGGGCCATATCTTCATCGCCAGGGGGTGACAGCGAGAGGAGAAGCGTTCCACACCTGTGACTGCAGAACATTGATCGTTTCCTTCATGCTGGCCCGCTCGAGCCTCATCTCGGTGATGCTGCCGTCGAGATTATGCTCGAGGGTCTTGATCTCGGTGACGAAACCGTTGGGCCTGGCCGTCATCGGGGCATACCTCGAATCTAATAGCTGTCCGGGCTGACTGCGAACACCACCAAAAAAACCCGGAACGTTTGCCTGCTTGGGCAGGGGCTCGAGAGAGGGGACACTGGGTGTCCGCCTGAGTCTGAACAGGGATGGCCTTGAGCCACAATGGGTACGGAAACGAAGCGAAAAGAGGAGAAGGACGAGGAGGAAAAGGACGAGGAGGAGGAGGACATCCCCATCCTCCCCTCTCCCCTGTCCAACCCATGGTAGTGGTGATGGAAAATGGGCCCCTCAGCTCCTTCTTCCCCGAAGCGAGCCTCGCCGCAGTTGGCCGAGAGGAGCAGGCGAGCCGCCAGGTCCCAGCTGCCGCTCCACAGCGCCGCCCCGACCTCGTACCTGCGGCGGCGGGCTGCCAGTGAGGGGCGCGGCCCTCCGCTGGCGGTGCGCACGGGGGGTCCTCCTCCTCCTCCTCCTCCTCCTCCTCCTCCTCCTCCTCCTCCTCCTCCTCATTTCCCCCCCCTCCTTCTCCCCCTCCTCCTTTCCTCTTCCATATTAACATCTTCTCCGTCGCACTCCGAGGCCTGTTTTTGAGGCGGGCCGGGTGTTTCGCCTGAGACTTCCTTACCACTTATGACTCTGAAGTTCAAAAATTGGCAACCGCTTCGCAGATGGAGGGTGGGTGATTTTCAAAATGCGGTTTTCGCCTAAGCGCCGAGCGCATTCGTTCTAAACATGTGCAAGACTTTCTCTGATGAAACATCACCCGTTGTCAAAATGTGGCTACCGCCTTACCGCCGCGCACACTCGATGCAAAAAACTGCAATAAGTTCACGGTTTGAGGGTCACCCGTTTTCCACGTGTGCCTCTCGCCTCAGCGCCGCGCACATTCGTCTTCCAAAATTGCAAGAACGTCACAGATTGAGGGCAGCTCTTTTTCAACATGTGGCTCTCGCCTCAGCGCCGCGCACATTCGTTCATACATGTTGCAAGGAGTTTCGTGGATTCCCACGATCAACGTATAAGAAATGCTGTTTTGGACGGATTGAGGATTTTGCGGGTGCAGCACGTACGTTGGTTCGCGGTGTTGAAATCCGAAGAATGGCCATCTGGCACGATCCAGAACCGTCAAGACGCAAAAGTCCGGTTGATTCGTGGCGTTGAATTCGGAGGAACAATGCTTCGGCATGTTTCCGGGTCTTCCAACGGTTGTCTTCCAACAAAGCGGATCCCTCAATGACAATGAGCCGTTGTAGGGGCCTGAAGAGGGAGCTTGGAGGGGGAGTGTATTCCAACATGTTTGAAAGCTCTTGGGTTTACACTGGTTCTCCTCCTCCTCCTCCCCTCCTCCTCCTCCTCCTCCTCCTCCTCCTCCTCCTCCTCCTCCTCCTCCTCCTCCTCCTCCTCCTCCCTCCTGCGCGCGGCAGCACAACGCCACCTACGGCATCATCAGACAACGGGGGGGGGCCGTTCAGGGCTCAGGGGGGGGGGCATCGACCTGGAATCGGCGACGTCGCCGATGGAATCGGCGACAGGCCATTGACAGCGAAGGAGCCGGACGCTGCTGGGCGGGGTGAGGCGGAGCATCGGGCCCCCATCGGCGACGGATGGGCGATTGGGGGTCGATGCGCCCCACCCTTATCCTATCATCCCAATCGTTGGCGGCGCGCACACTCGCCATCGCTCGGACGTCCACTCCGTGTTTTTTGGGTGGTTTCGTGCGTGGTTTTTTCGCCGAATGATCAAGGATGCTCCTCGATGGTCCTCGCCGAGAGAAAGACGCACACGTCCGAGCGATGCCAAGGCACAAGGGGGTAGGGGTAGGGGGGACGGCTTCTTATAAAAAGGCGGCTTCTTGAAGGCGCTGGCCTTACATCTATAGACGAGGCCCGCGCCTTCTAAGGAGCAGGGGTGCGTCTGAGCAGGGCTGAACCTACCCGGTGCTATTCGTTTTCGTTACTCAGGTTGCTCGTTATTCCTCGTTTTGCCCTCGGGTCGCAGTTACTGCAAAACATATCGAACAACAGAACGGCCCAAGAGATGGCCAAAACACCGTTTCGGTCCAGCCCTGCGTCTCAGAAGCCTTCCCCCCTCCCCCTACCCCCCCCTCCTGCGCGTGGCTCATCTCCTGGCGGCACATACACAGGGGGTGGGGCGGAGGACACAAAAGACGAAAACATAAAATCTCGGAGCTTCGCTCGGATTTCCTGGATCTGCGCTGAGCCCCAATCCCTGGCGCGCGGAGGGGGGGGCGCAGGAGGCGCCGCCGAGGGCCCCCAGTGAAGATCAAGGAGATCGGCGCGGAGCGCCGACAGTTTGACTCTGTGTCATGTTGTTCCTCTTTTGCTCGACACAAGGGGGAATGAGGGGGGGGGAAGAGGGGGAGGGGGGGCGTGGGGGAGGGGAGGGGGGCGAGGGAGGAACATTGTGTCTCTGTTGTGTTGTTCTCCTCTTGTTCGACACAGGGGGGGGGGGGGGGGCGCAAGGGGGGCGGCCTCGTCTGGAGGCAGCGGAGCATCTGATGAGGCAAGGGCCTCCTGAAGAAGCTCCCCTGGCGCCTGCCTGCAGTGGAGGCCCGACCACAGGAGACCCTCCACGAGAAACCCTGATGGGCCTGTTTTCCACCACCACCACCATAAGTTGGAGGGGGGAAGGAGGTGGAGCACGAAGAGGAGGAGGACGAAGAGGATGAAGAGGAGGAGGAGGAGGGGGAGGAGGAGGACCCCCCCTCCAACTTATGGTGGTGGTGGTGGTGGGAAACACGCCCATCAAATCCTGCCCTGAGATACCAGGACGCCCATTGACTACTGGTGCAGAGACGTCACGTTTCCCACGGCAACGCCATCGAAACCCCAGATGCCCTGGGCACCCTGGAGACAAGCAGGGCGCTTCTTGGCATCGGTCTCCATGTGCGGAGCCTTCTCAGAAGCCTCTCGAGCCTTCTGCGAAGCCCCCCGCCTTCTAGCTCTCGGCCTTCCTTTGAAGGCCCCCCCCCTCGCGCCAACCCCTTGCGCGCGCCGGCGGCGGCGATCGAGGGCCCCAATTCTCTGGCGTTTCTGGGGCCGCCTGGGGAGTCCCGCCGGTGGTCAGCTCATGGGGGCAAGCACAACATCAATGGCTCGCGCGCCGCCGTGGGGAGAGCCATCAGCGTGTCGGTGCTGAAGGTCCACCAGGCGTTCGGAAACAAGATGAAGGAGTATGACGTGCTGACGGGCTCCCGCAGGCGGCGTCACAAAGTTTTCCCACACACCCCAGCTTGCTGGGGCGCAGGAGGAGCGGTACTGCTTGCGAAGGGGTGGGTGTGGTTGAATAGGGCAAGAGGAGTAAGAGAGGAGGAGGAGGAGGAGGAGGAGGAGGAGGAGGAGGAGGAGGAGGAGGAGGAGGAGGGGGAGAAGGAGGAGGAGGGGGAGGAGGAGGAGAAGGACGAGACGGAGGAGGAACAAGGAAAGGCGACACGGCTACCATCAGCACGAGGCACCAGGAAGGATACTCCTGGTGGTCTGCTCCCCCCCTCTCTAGTGGTGGTGGGATCGCCTCTCCTGCCTCCGAACACCAGCTCCCAGCGAGACACCACGAGCCGTGCGGTCAGACCTGCTGCGGTGTATGAGGTCACCCTGTGATTTCGAAGGCGGCTCGATGTACCTAAGGTCCTCCCATGAGCCAGAGGGATCCGCATGTCCCTGGGCGGGCCGGACTATCAGGGCCCTATCGGCGATCAATGGGCGATTCGGGGCAGATGCCTCCCCACTTGAGCACATCCTCCCCCGAGTGGACCATGAAACTCGGGGGTCCAGAAATGGGCCTCGTTCGCCATCTCAAGCTTCGTCTAGCAAACGTGCACCAAGACCTGGTCCGGTGGGACTGCGATGGCCGTGGTGCCGAGGCAACACACGATCGGCATCTAAAGAACAAGCTCTCGGAGGGCCGCGCACATTGCTTGGATTGGCGCTGTACCCCTCCTGGCGGTGCTTGCGGCGCCGCCCCTGGCGCTGTCCGCGCGCCAAGGGAAGGGTGCCCAGCGCCGAAAAACTATGCTCTGCAGTTTGTTTGTTCTCCGGCTGGTGGACTCGGGTGTTGCTGGAAGTGTCCCTGACTCCCCCAGGACTCCCCAGGGAACTCCGCGACTGCCAGAACACTCCCGAGGCCCAGAGGGCCCCATGGGCTCCAACATGTAGCGAAGAGCTGGGGAGCCCTTCCCAACGCTTCCTTCTTTTGCCTTTGTCAATGCGGCGTCCCTGGAAGTCCCGATGCCTGCCCGGGGACCCGCTCTTCCCCAGGAGTCGCTGTTTGATCGTCCTGGGGCCCGGCGGGGGCTCCCGAGGGCAGAGAACGGTGAGAACCTTGCCTCTCCACTGTGTCATCGCGTTGGAGGTCTGGCTTTGGCCAGGGCCACTCCTCTTGACCAGGGGCCCAGTCCTAGCGCTCCTCAACGCCTACCGCAAAACGCGAATGGAACCACCGACAAATGCTCGAAAACCAAAGCATGTCCTTAGAACATATAGCGGATTGACTAAGACCAGATTGTCTGAAAAAGAAATTCTCACATTCGCCGGCCCAACGGGCCAGAGGCGTGCTAAGATCTTCGGTCACAGGTGAACAGAAAAAGGCCAGCCCAACGGGCCAGAGGCGTGCAAATATCTTTGGTCACAAATCACTCATTCGCGGCCCTTGGGGACCCCTTGACGAAAAACACCCCGGGCGATGCCCGGGCGATGCCCTGGCGATGCCCTGGCGATGCCTGGCTGCCTCCCCCAGGGTGTTCCAGGGCGCCGGGACGCCCCCTGCGGCCCAAGAGGCCCCGAGTCGCCAAAAGACCGTTCCGAGACGCTCAAGATGGTCTCCAGATGGCCCAGGGGCTGCGAAAAAAACCCAAGAAAGCCCCAACAAGGATAAATCGTCCAATTCCCTTTGGGAAACGTACATGTTTCGCATGTGCGACGTTTGGGGGTTCACAGCGTCCAGAACTGCCCCAGAGGCCTACGACATGATCCCCACACGGCCCGACACACCCCCAAGATGGGCCCAAGAGAGCCCAAGAACCCCCAGACGGCTCAACACGGCCCAAGACAGCCCAAGAGGCGCCCAAGACGGCTCAAGAGGGTCAGCACCGACACGCCCCCAAGATGGGCCAAGAGAGCCCAAGAACCCCAAGACGGCCCAAGACGGTCCAAGACAGCCCAAGAGGCGCCCAAAACAGCCAAAGAGAGCCCCACAACGGCCGCAAGAGGGGCCCAAGAAGGGGACCAGGAACCGAAAAGTCCAGCCTTCAGCCCCGTGAGGTCGTCAGAAGGCCCCAAGAGGCCCCTATGTGGCCCTAGGGAACCCCCAAGAGGCACCCCAAGAAGCCCCGAAAGGCCCCCAAGAGGCCACAAGAGGCCCCAACATGGCCCCCAAGAGGCCTCAAAACTGCCTCCCAGAGGCCACGGAGAGGCCAGCCGCGAGAGCCCCACCAACATCCATGAGGCCTCTGACCCACCGATCCACCACCCACAGGCACGGTCAGAGGCGTGCTGAGATCTCCGGTAACTGCTTCACTGTAGTTCTACTTCGCGCGCGCGGGGCGGCCCCTAGGGGTCCCTGGACGCAATGTACCCAGGCCAAGTCCCCGGCAGGGTCGGGCCAGAGATGGTTCTCCTCCTGGGCGCGGCGTTCAGGCGCCCCAAAGCGATCCAAGAGGGCCCCAAGAGGCGTCCAAAATGGCCCAAGAAGGCTCCGAATCGTCGAACGTCGGCACCGCATTGACAACAACACCCCTACACACGACAGCGGCGAGGCAACATGGGCCGGCGGAGTGCGCGAAGCGATTCAATCACATCTCGTGCAAACCATCCTCTCCTCCTCCTCCTCCTCCTCCTCCTCCTCCTCCTCCTCCTCCTCCTCCTCCTCATCTCTCATCCTCCTCCTCCCTCTCCTCCTCCTCCTCCTCCGTTCTCCTCCTCCGTTCTCCTCCTCCTCCTCCTCCTTCTCCTCCTTCTCCTCCTCCTCCTCCTCCTTCTCCCCCTGATCCTCCTTTCCTCAGAGCCCTGGCAGCCCCTCCTAAGGCCCTCCCCGGGCCTGCTCACTCCGCTGAGCGTCCGGGGGCCCAGGCTGCGCACTGAGCCTCCGCTGGAGGCCATTCTGCCCACAACTCAAGCAGGCCCTCGCGCGAGAGACCTCCGAACGCCTCCGGGCGCCGTTTGGGACCTCCCGGGGAGGCCCTCCGAGGCAATCTTCGGGCCTCTTGGAGCCCTCTTGGGCTCCCCTGGCCCTCCTTTCCGGCACTCCGAGGTCGTCTCGGATGCCTCCGAAGCCCTCTTCGGGGCATGCCCAGGCAACAAAAATGAGGATGCCAAAAAACTTCAAAAACCCAGAGGGTTCGCATGATGTTGGCCGTTTCCGCCTCCTCTTTGCGCTCTCTTTGAGCTCTCTTGCAGCATCTTGCGCCACTCTTGGGGCCTCTCCGGCCAACGTTGGAATATCTACAAGGCCTCCTGGGCCGTCCTCAACGTCTCCCGGACCTACATTCGGCCGTCTGGCCGCCCTTTTGGCGCCCTCCTGGGCCGTCTGGGGCGCGCCCACGGGGGCCCTGGAGGGCCTTCTGAGACCCGAAAAACTTGTGGGACTGCTCCTTTTCACCTCTCCGCACCGCGTTCCAATCTCCTCCGCCGTTTTCGACACCTTCGGGTGCCATGTTGGGCCATTTCCGAAGCCTCTTGGGTCCCTCTGGTGGCCTTCTTCGGCCCTCTTCCGCGTCTTCTCGGACCCTCTGGGGCCATCTTGGCCCCTCCCACAAACTCCGCGTCAAGGTGAAGAGGGCTATCTTAGACTCCCATTCTCGCCGTGTGGCACGCCAGTTTGGTGACGTCTTCCGAGACCCTCTGGGGCCGTATTCGACCCCCTCCCCTCCCCCACTCTGGCCTGTTTTTGATGGCCCTCCTTCTCCTCCACCACGCCTCCCAAACTTCCCACGCTCTCAAAAAGACCCTGCTGGCGGTCTGTGGCAGCAACACCACTACCCGAGAGCTACCCTTATGGATACATTCAGCTCTTTGGAACCTACGCGCCCTTTTGGCCCCTTGAGCCGTGCCTGCACTCACCAATAGCGCCTTAAGTGCAACCATACATAGAACTCTCCCACGTGAGCTTCCCGGCTGAGTCAATGAGCTGGACGTCCAGATTGAGCCCAGCCAGACCACAGCCTTACTGAGCCCCACGCCACATAATAATACGAGCACGCCCCAGAGGGGATTGTAGCAAGTTCGGTCTCAGGGATTCGCATCCTGAACACGATCCCTTCACATTGCTCATTCGCACTGGTAACTCGCCCTACTGCAAGAGGCAAATGCTAAGCACCAATCCGTAACACGAGCTCTCGCTTCACGCTCATCCATAAGAGTAATCCTTAACACGTACTCTGAACAACAATCCCTAATACGGCTACATAACACGAATACATGCACACATCCTCAACACGAAACCTTAGCAAGAATCCTCAGCACTATTTCGTTGCCCCGGGATCCAAGCCCGCCCTCCAAGCCGTTCTGGACCCTTTGGGGTCGCCATGGATACCCCCGCGGAGAAACTCCGGGTTCCCCAAAAAGTGGGGTGGCGGTGTCTGCCCCCTCAGGGGCGTTCAATTCAATAACATCTCGTGCAAACCATGAGTCGTTGGCACATACTCTGGTGGACCTATACAAGCGCGTCAGGACGCATCGCCCCTGCTTGAACTTCTATGAGCACCCGATCTGTCTTCGATGGCCCGAAGATGGGGGGTCCTCACGGATGGGGCCCGAGAGGTTAGGACGGGATCTCACGGTAGCTTTACCTTGTTGGAGGCACCCATCCTTGAACCACCGATGTCTCAGCCCTCCCCGAGTTGGCGGCGCGCGCAGAGGGGGGGGGTAGGGGGAGGGGGGAAGGCTCTTTCAGAAGGGGGCTGCTTCTCAGAAGGCGCCGGCCTCACATGTATAGAGAACCTGCCATCGCTCGGACGTCCATTCCCTGTGTTTTTTTCGGTTTCGTGCGTGTTTTTTTCGCCAAATGATCAAGGATGCTCCTCGATGGTCCTCGACGAAGGAAACATGCACACGTCCGAGCGATGCCAAGAGAAGGCCCGCGCCTTCTAAGAAGGGTGCTTCTAAGAAGCCCCCCCCTCCCCCTACCCCCCTCTGCGCGTGGCCGACCGAGGGCACCGGCGCACTTCGGCGTGGCCGAAGGAGGACAGCTCGAACAGGTTCAGGAAGCCGTCCCTGCAGAGCCGCTCCACGGCGGCCTCCCGACCCCGAGAGGAGCGGCGGAAACCAACCCGGCAGCTCTGCACCATTGCAACTCCTCCTCCTCCTCCTCCTCCTCCTCCTCCTCCCCCTCCTCCTCCCCTCCTCCCCTCCTTCTCCTCTCCTCCTCCTCCTCTCTCCTTCTCCTCCTCCTCCTCCTCCTCCTCCTCCTCCTCCTCCGCGGAGCTCAAAACATATGTGGTGCTGCCGCTGTTCTTCTGGAGCCTAGAGCGGTATATGTGTTGTCCATGCCCCCTGCTGCTTTCTTCCACGGGAGGCGCAATGGGGGATAGGGGCATGGACAGGACCTTTACCCCCGGAGGCTGGGACTTGTCCTCAATGCTCCCGCCCTGGCAGGCAGGAGGCATGGATCAAACACTGCTTGCCGACGCATCCCGGACAACCGTTTTGCCACGGTCCTGGGGCACAGCGATGGCCCCAGGAGCCAAGGCCAATCAACACCGAATCAGGGCATCGGATCGGGACGAGCGTGTGCCAGATCGGGCCGCGCCGGCGCGGAGCTGGAATAGTCGGATCGGCCGCGCCAGGATACACAACAACGCCATGCACGATGCAAGCATCAGGCCGCACCTGATCGTCAAAACATCGGAATCGGAATCGGATCGACATGGCTGGAATCGATTTCGGATCTGATCGACATGTGCCACACTGGGAACTCCCGAGCATTGCAAACCCCAGCCTGCAGGGCCCCTTTCCCTCCAGGCCCGTTCCCAAACATCCACTGAGCCGATGTCCTCGATCCGCGGACCCCCGAAGCCTCGATCCCTTCCCAAACCCTCCACCTCCACCTTCCATACCTTCCAACCTCCGCGGAAGGCGCGGAAGAATTCATCGAAACTCATGGTAACCTTACGACATTCAAGGAAACCCACATCGATCATATCGAAAAAGGGGCGGAGGGTTAGGGCGGAAGGTCCAGAATAATGAGGGCGAGGGCATATAGGGGGCACTTTTTCATCCAGGATTCTTATTTGCTGGTTCTGGAGCACGAGAACGTCCCCCAGAGGCCGAAATCGAGGAACCACTGCCGGGATTGCAAACAAGAATCCGCGCCCAAGGCCTGGGCCCAAACAGTCGATCCCTGGACGTGTCCACGAGAGCATCCTGTTCAGAATCCCACCAGCCCTTTGGGCGTGAGTGGTTTAGAGAGCCCGCTCTGTCCTCAACCCCCCTACTTCCCCTTCGGGGAGGGGTTTACCCCTCCCCCTACCCCCTCCCCCTGGGCCTGGACAGGGAGTCCGGGGCGTAGTCAGGGGGGTCTTTTTCGACTCCTGGGAGGGCCAAAAAACGACGACCCTCACGAGGATTCTGGCCCCGTCGGGGGGACACAGAAAAAACCCTCTCCTCTTCTGTGAAGCCAAAATCATTGATTTTACTACGGTTTTGGCCCCATTTTGGCCTTCTGAGGGGGCAGCGCTCCTCTTCTTTGTTCTCAAAATCATTGATTTTACGAAGGTTTTGGGCTCATTTTGTCCTTCTCAGGGGCCAGCTCTCACTTGCGCTTCAAAGGAGGTCGCAAGAGGCCCCAAGATGGCCCCAAGAGGCCCCCAGGAGGCTCCCAAGAGGCCCCCAAGAGGCCCCCCAGAGGCCCCCAAGAGGCCCCAAGAGGCCCCCAAGAGGCCCCCAAGAGGCCCCCAAGAGGCCCCAAGAGGCCCCAAGACGCCCCGAAGACGCCCCCAAGAGGCCCCCAAGAGGCCCCCAAGAGGCCCCAAGAGGCTCCAAGAGGCCCCCAAGAGGCCCCACGAGGAGCCCGAACGACTCACACCAGGGCGAGGGGCCCGAACGACTCACAGCCCGAACGACTCAGAGGCCCGAACGAAGAGCCCGAACGACTCACACCACGGGAGGTTCCCGAACGACTTACACCAGGACGAGGCGCCCGAACGACTCACACCACGAGGAGCCCGAACGACTCACACCACGACGCGGGCCTCGAACGACTCACACCACGAGGAGCCCGAACGAGTCACACCAGGAGGAGGGGCAGCGCTCATACAAGCCACCACGAGGAGCCCAACGACTCACACCACGACGAGGGCCCCGAACGACTCACACCACGAGGAGCCCGAACGAGTCACACCAGGAGGAGGGGCCCGAACGACTCACACCAGGACGAGGGGCCCGAACAACTCACACCACGAGAAGCCCGAACGACTCACACCAGGACGAAGAGCCCGAACGACTCACACCACGAAGAGCCCGAACGACTCACACCAGGAAGAAGGGCCCGAACGACTCACACCAGGACGAGAAACCCCAAACGACTCAAACCACGAGGCGCGCTTTCTCTCCCTCCTCCTCCGCCTCGTCCTTCTCCCGCTCCCCCCACAAGGAGGATGTACAAGGAGGCGGGAGGAAGGAGTAACAGGGGAGATATGCGGGGGCAGGCGGAAACACGCCTGAAAAACACGACTGTCGGCATGCTTCGCAAGAGTTGCTGTTGAGAGATGGGCTGGTGGGGATACGCGAAGCGTAAAGAATTCCAACAACAAATCCTGCCGTGGCCACGGGAATTCTCCCAGAGCTCCCCCCCCCAGTCGGCGGCGAGCGAGGGGACCTTCTCCGAAGGCCTTCTCAGAAGGCGGCGGAGCTTCTCAGCAGCCCTCGCACATTCTTAACATATGTTCTGTATCTTCGGGGGGGGGGGGCTCTGGAAACTTCTCAGAAGACTGGGGGACATCCGAGCCTTCTGAAGAGGCCTCCTCCCTCCCCCCTCATTATTCCAAACTTTTCGCCCCGTCTGGGCTCCCTTGAATTGCCTCAAGTTTCTTTGAGTTTCGACGTCCGCAACCTCCGCGGAGGTCGGAAGGTTTGGCAGGTGGAGGGGGATGGTTCTCATTTTCCCTTCGGGGGCGTGCAAAACTGGGCCGTCCATGAGGGGGGGGCGCGCAAATCATGGCCGGCGGCGCGTGCGTGGCCCAGGGGGGGGGGGTCGGGGACATATGCAAATAAAGGTCTAACAACTTGTTTTGCTGTTTTTTGTTGTTGAAAAATGGGTAGACACTTTTAAATGCGCAAGTTATGCGTGTGTATATATACATATATATATACATACATATATAGAAAAGGCGGGGCAAACCAGACCGGCGGGGACGTCCCCGCGACCGACCGCCCTGGCGCTCCGCATGCAGGGGCGGAAGACTGCGCACCACGTCTTGGCGTCAGGCCACGCTGGCAACGCCATGCGAACTTGGGATTCTGGGGGCCAACAATATAAGGCCATTCAGCCTCACACAAAAAACAACGGGTGACACGTTTCACCCCCGCAACCGCGTGAGAGTAGAAACTGTAAATTTGGCATTTGGGAGCCAACAAAAAGCCATTCGGCCTCACAAAAACAACGGGTGACACGTGTCACCCCCGAAACCGTGAGAAAAAAACAACTGTAACTGTGGGATTATGAAAGCCAGTCATCATACGGAAATTCAGCTTCATGCGGAACAGCGGGGGACACGTGAGAAATTCTGGACTCCAGGAGCCAACATAAGGCCACCCAGCCGCGCAAAACAACGAGCAACACGTGCCACCCCCGAAACCGCGTGAGAATAACCAATGGTAAATTCAGGGTTCTAGGAGCCAACATAAGGCCATTCAACCTCACAAAAACAACCGGTGACACGTGTCGTTCCCGAAGCCGTGTGAGGAAAACAATTGTAGCCATTCAGCCTCACAGAAACAACGGGTGACACGTGTCACCCGAAATCGTTTGCGAAACACCGATATTCAATTTAAATGTGGGATGCTCGGAGCCAACACAAGGCCATTCAACTTCGCAAGAAACAACTGGTGACACGTGTCACTCCCGAAACCGCGTGAGCCAACATAACGCCATCCAGCCGCACAAAACCACGCGACACCCTCGAAACCGTGTAAGAAAAACCAGATGTAAATCTGGAGCCAACAAAGCGCCATTCAGCCTCACAGCATCAACGGGTGACGCGTGTCACCTCCCGGTACCACGTGAAAGAAACCATTTGCGAATTTGGAATTCTGGGGGCCAACATGAGGCCACCCAACCCCGCACAAACAACAAATGACGCGTGTCACCCCCGAGACCGCACGAGAAAAATCATGTGTAAATTTGAGGCCCTGGGAAACCACCACAATGTAATCCAACCTCTTAAAAACAACGGGTGACATGTGTCACCCCCGAAACCGTGAAAAAAAACTGTAAATTCTGACTTCTGGGAGCCAACAAAACGCCATGCAGCCTCACAAAACAACGGACTACACGCGCCAGCCCCGAAACCATGTGAGAAAAATCACTTGTAAAATCAAGATTTTGGGAACCAACATCAAACCGTCCACCCTCACGGCAACAAGCCGTGACACGTGTCACCCCCGCAAACCGCGGAATCGTAATTTCTGCGATGGTGGGGGCCAACATAAGGCCATTCAACTTCAGGAAAAAACAGCGGGTGACACGTGTCAGCCCCGCAACCGTGTGAGAATAACAAATTGGTGTATACATACATATAAAAAACTAAGAAGTTGGGAGCCAGCATTAGGCCATTCATCATCACAAAAACAAAGGGTGATGCGCCTAAACCGCGTGAAAAAAAACATGTAAATCTAGGATTCTGGTAGCCAACATACGGCATTCAACTTCACAAAAAAACAGGTGACCCGTGTCACATCGGAAACCGTGTGGGGAGAAACAATTGCGAATTTGGGATTCCACGGGCCAACATGAAGCCATTCAACCGCGCAAAAGCAACAAGTGTCACAAGCCGCCCCCGAAACTGGGTGAGGAAAGACATATGCAAATTTTGGATTATGGGAACCACAATAAGGCCATTCAACCTCGCAACAACAACGGGTTACACGTGGCATCTCTGAAACCGTGTGGGAACAAAAACACTTAGTAGATCTGGGAATGTGGGAGGCGACATAAGGCCATCCAGCCGCACAAAACAACGGGGGACACAAGCCACCCCCGGAATGAGATGACGAAAATTGCAAAGTTGAGGTTGGGGTATCAAACATAACTTGACGAACAAATGTGTGACACGTGTCACCCCCGAAACCGTTTGAGAAAAACGACTTGTTAATTTGGGATTCTGGGAGCCAACATAAGGTCAGTCAGCCTCACACCGCGTGCGAGAACTGGACGCCACCGCGCGCACGCGCGCGCAGTCGCGTGAGTGGGTACGTACAGCGTCCCAGAAAGACGAGAACTACCTACTCGTCGACCGAAGTAGCCTGCACATCTGCACGCACCCAGTTCGAGCGCATCTGCCAATGCATGCGCGTGCGTGCGCGTGTATATGCAGATATGGATCGAAACATTCATGCGCGCATTTAGCATTATCTATAGCATCGCTCGGTCCCGTGGCATATTTTTTTCAGGGGGTACCTTAAACATATAGTTCTTCGGCGGCGAATAAATTGCTGTCGGGATCGGGGGGGAGGGGTGGGGGTCATCATTTTCTTAACACGTTCTGGGCATCTAGACGAGAGAGACCTGACAAATGGAGAGATTTCCTGGCCCCGCCACAAAATATCCATCCCCCCTGGCCATCGCCCCTCTCTTGGCAACCCCCGATCCCCCCTCGCTCGCCGCTGATCCCGGGACCCCTCCCCACACTTTTTGGTCGGCGGGGCGAGAGCGAACCTCTTCCGCTAAAAGCTAGGCAGGCTACGCGCAGCAATTAGGGAGACAGGGCACAAACGGGCGGGGCCTCAGGCGGCCGGAGAGGGCGGGGCCCGGGGTGCAGGCGGTGCCGAAGAGCTTGCGCAGGAAAAGGTACGCCGCGGACAGGAGCCCGAAGGCAAAGATACGGAGGGTGAGCGATGTGGTATTGCCGTCAACGGCCCCCCCCCAACACGGACCGACAGCGCAGAGACCACCCCGAGCCGCGCGGGCCTCGGGAGCGGCGAGGGAGGGGGGGGGGCGGTGCCCTGGCGTTTCCCGGAGGTCCGAGGTGCCGACTTACCGTCCATGCTCCGCTTGTGTTGTTCCCATCCTGCTCAAGGACCACATCCCAGAAATAATTTTTGAGCACCCCGAAACGTGTCAAAATGGTGTCGAAACAGTGTCGGAACAGTGTCGGGCGAGTGTCTCCCAGGGCCCGGCACGTGAAAACCCTTGAATTTCGGCACTCTGTTGGGCGCTCGAAATTCTTCCTGGCGGTCAAGGCTAAAGTAGGTTGGAGCATCATAATGCTCGGCAACGAGCGAGGGGTGGAAGCGAGGAGGAGAACAGGAAGTATGTCGACCCCTATCCCAGGTTTCGGAGTGTTTTCAGGGTATCCATCCTTGTCTGAGCGGCTTCATTCTTCGTCGAACAGTCGGGGGCCGGGGGAGAAACATCGCCTTCGAGAGGAGAAGGAGTGATTAGCAATAAAAGGACCCCTAACCCTGTGGGAGGTACCCAAAGTCCTAAGTTAGGAGGGCCAAGAACATTAGAGATACTGGGTCCTGTTCTGCAGATGCATCGAACCAGACAGCCCAGACTGATTACCCCTAATGCAAAAGCAAGGACCAAAGTGAGGTCACGTGTTCACTGTGTTACTCGGGTTAGGGGTCCTTTCGTTGTCGATGAAAGGGGGAAGTGAGGAGGAGGCAGGGGCGTTACGTTATGCCCCCCCCCTCTGCACCCCCTCTTCCCCCCCATAACGCCCGTCGTCGCCGCAAAGGATTGTGCTCCCAAATCACGCTGTGTGGTTTTCACGGCGCGAGGATGTAGCGGACAGCTGCCGCCCGCCTTCTCAGAAGGCTCGGAAGACCTGAAGGCTTGTGAGATGCCCCGTCCCCTGTTGAGAAGGCCTCCTCCTTCTCGCTTCCCCTCCTCCTCTGGCCGCCGAAATGCTGACGGCCCAATTTTTTCCCCCAGCACTACCATTGGCAGGACGGGGGGGAGGTGAGGCCTCCTCCTTCTGCTCCTCCACTCGGCTCGGGGTCGGCCCGAAGCGGCCCGAATCTCCCACGGCGCGAAAGCACAGGCCGTCGCGAACCGTTTTGGCCCGTAGAATCCCGTAGAATCCTCCTTCTGCTCCTCCTCCTCCCCCTCCTACCTATGGTAGTGGTGGTGGAACATCGGTACATCAATACGGGGTACGCCCGACCCATTCCCCGCGGCCACCTTCGGGGCGGCCAAGGGGGGGGGGGGGCCCTGGACGTCCGACACCTCGAAATCTATCGCTCGCCACGCGGCGAGGTGTGGGCCTCTCACTTCCGGGAGACCGGCCTCTCATCCCGAGTCGTTCCCCGTTTGAAAGGGGCCCAGGGATGCACGAAGAAGCAGACACACCTCCCAGGATACTCGACCTTTCCACATCAGAAAGAGAGGTCCGAACGGTCATTCATTGTCCCTGGGTGCGCAGCTGACGTGGGGATCCGTGGTGAGGATTCTGCTTGTTGCATTGTTGCTGTTTGTTTGTTTGTTTGTCGTCCCCACCCGCGACCCACCCCGCGACCCACCCCGCGACCCACCCGCGACCCACCCCGCGACCCACCCGCGACCCACCCCGCGACCCACCCGCGACCCACCCCGCGACCCACCCGCGACCCACCCGCGACCCACCCGCGACCCACCCGCGACCCACCCCGCGACCCACCCGCGACCCATCCGCCCCGCGACCCACCCGCGACCCAACAACGACCCACCCGCGACCCATTTGCGACCCACCAGACCCACCCGCGACCTACCCACAGGTGTTTGATGACAAAATCTGCGCCTGCGGTGGGCTCGTTGTATAAATTGTGAAACTTTGGCGCCTGCGGCGGGCCTCTCCGAAGTCTCGCAAACTGCCGACGTCCCCACCGCCCCCTCACTCTTATCCGCATCTGCGGGGTGCTGCGGTCTGCGTGGAGTGCCAAACATGTATGTTTATGGCGTGTCTTCTTCCTCGATCGATGGCCTTCGCCGAGGAAGAATGAGCGCGTCTGGGCGATGCCCAGGAAGGAGGAGGAGAGGGAAGGAGGAGGAGGAGGAGGAGGAGGAGGAGGAGGAGGAGGAGGAGAGACGGGAGGCACGGGAGCAACGTGAGCAGACCAAGAAAGTGGGTAAGAACATGAATCAGGACGGCGGATACAGTAGATTGGGCTCAGGCGCTCCCAGAGAATAGGAAGGCGGTTGAAACAACTGGGAGTCCGTGAGTCGAAACATACCTGCTTTCAACGACCGGCGTGTATGGCTGAGGTTGCCCTCTGCCCACATGCGCAAGGCCAGGCTGCCGAGCGCGGCGGCGACAGCTCCCCGCTCCGATGTTTGCCCTGCCCACGAGGCGTCTAGAGAGCCCACAAAAGACGTACGCGCCCAGCTATGTACATGAACACGGCCCCTTGACCCGCGAGACCGGCCGCGTGATACGAATATTCGCCGAATGCGCAATCCCGAAAACAGCGTGGATTCATGTACGTGTACGTCCTTCTTTCGCTCCTGAGCGTCGGAGGCCTCGGCCCGGGCGCGCCCGCCCCCCGGAGACGAGCCTCGGCCGAACCGTCGTCGCACGCGCGGGCGTCAAGGCCGCGGACCACCACCGTGTACCTGGAGGCCGCCAGGCCAGTCGGACCTACGACACAAGAGCACGCTTCAATCGGCTACACGCAAGAGTGACCCTGGGTAAGAGTGACCTTTGGTGCGCGGCTTTTTGGGGGGCCGCGGGGACACCAAACCTGGGCGCGCAAGCCGCTGCTACCGCTTCGTTTTCAGCCATCTGAGGGCCCATCTGTTCCCGCACCAAAGGTCACTCCGGCGAAAGGTCACTCATACGTCTAATCGATTCAAGAACACGAGACCCTCCGCCGGCGCAAACTCAAGAGCATTTGGGGGTGCCCTGCCCCAGGATGCACAAGAACACCCAACAAGCACGAATAGGGACACGAACAATGACATAAACGTAAAGACTCGGGGGTCCGCGTGAATTTCTCGGATCCGCGCTGGAGCCCCCTGGCGGCGCCTCCGGCGCCGCCCCTGGCGCGCTCCGCGCGCCAGGGAGGGGGGTCCAGCGCGGATCCGAGAAATCTGCGCGGACCTCCGAATTTTTATGTTTATGTCATTTCTCGGTTCCCTAACGAAAATGCCCTTCCCGAACCGACCTCGATCTTGTACCTCGGTCCGAGTCGGTCCGAGTGTATGGTGTCGAAGGAACTGAGTTTGGCACTCGCATCGTCGCGGGGGGTGCTGAGGGGAAAGAGGGGTCATCTGTGGATATCCAGGTGGGATACAACGGAGCGGCGAAAACAAAAGCTGGCCATCGCTCGGACGTCCATTTCCTGTGCTTTTTCGGTTTCGTGCGTGGTTTTTTCGCCAAATGATCAAGGATGCTCCTCGATGGTCCTCGCCGAGGATAAAAACGCACACGTCCGAGCGATGCCAAGAAACAGGTCGTACGCGAGATGGCGCGGCGACCTTGCGCCGGCGTGGCACACCGCGTGGCGAAGAGGGCGCTCACGCGCGACCTTGCGCGAGAAGCTTACGCGCGAGTGTCCGCGCAATCGACCACGTTCTCTTCCGTCGCTCAACTCACGTGAACCCTTCCCCTGCAAGCCACACTGGTAACGAACAACAAATAGAGTGGGGCTTAGAACTTAGAGGGTGTGTGCAGCCCCGCGGGGATGACCGATATCCCAGCGTCGATTGGATCCGCGGGGGTAGGGTTCACAAGCAGCCACAGAAGGGTCGGAGGACCGCCGACACGTCGCCGATGCATCGCCGATGCATCGGTGACGTCGGCGTGGAGAACATCGGGCTCCACATCGAGCCGCACAGCCGATGCACGGGCCATGCGGGCGATCCACCGACCCCAACCCCAGACCTCCGATGCCTTTGTAGTTTCAAAGAAAGATCCCCGGAGCCCTGGACCACTTCCGAGGAACCAACTTTTCGTGCCTGCATTATTTGCTGACGGTCTCGGGACCTGGCGAGGCCCCCTGACGCCGAACACGGTAAAAAATCTCCATGCTGTTTTATCCCTCATAGCGTCCCGCACGTCTCAGAAGTTCCACAGGTGTCGCATGTCTCGCAGGACCCACAGGTGACACAAGTCTCGCAGGTCTGGCAGGTCCCGCAGGTCCACATGTGGCACAAGGCCCACGGGCCCCACCTGCCAGACAGGTCCCTCTGCCAGCAACCTACCTTCGCAAGTATTACACTGCTGTGCGGGGGTCATTTTCAACATGTCGAAGGCCTGAACCTCCTTCGGCACCTTTTCGGGCTTCTGCTGATCCAGATCAATGCAAATACGGGCCAATCAAACTTTGCAAGATCCTGCAAGATTCTGCACGCAAGCCCGGGCCAATGCACACCTGGCTCTGCAGGATCCTGCAATATCCGGCGCTCAAGCTGAGCCCCGCTTGCATTGACCCCGGCTCTTGAGTCCCGAGACCCGCGCAGCCAAGGTAACTCCGGCGCACGGTCACTCGGCTTTCGGGTCACAACTCGGACCTCTGGCAGTCGTTCGGGAAGATAATTCTGTGCCCCCCCCACCCCCGAAGAAACACTCGACGAGACACAACTTTTTTTTGAGGGAGAAGACGGGAGCGGACCGCATGATTCAATAACCTGGGTCGTAACGAAAATGCCGGTTTCTGGTATGCATCCCCCGTGGCTCCCGACCTTTTTGGTCGGGGACGCACTGACCCAGGTCAATGCAGACTCGGGTCAATCGGGCTTTGCAAGATCCTGCAGGATCCTGCGCCCTGACCCGGGTCAGTGCGCCCCGGGCTCTTCAGGATCCTGCAAGATACGGCGCTCTGGCTGACCCCCACTTGCACTGCCCCCCGTCTCAAGGCTCCCGATTTGAGCATCGTTTACACGATCCCCATCCCCACCATTGAGCAGGGACCGACCGTCCCGGCATTCTGATAGTCATACCACGAAGTGTTCTTAGAACCCAAAAATGTTCTACGAAGTTCTTAGAACATAAGCCCGATGTGTTCAAACAAGACAGTCCCAGCCAGAAATGTTCAGAGAACATTTCGTGGGAACCACAAAAGGTTCTTAGAACATTGTTTGGTGGGGCTATAGGCGAGCCGGGACGCTTCGCCACTGCTTGACACCAGCGTGGGCGGATATAGGCCGTATCCTTCCGGTTTCGAGGGGTATCCCCAACTGGGGGGTGTCATTTGGGGGTCTCGAAGGGGATGAGCATGGGGATGGGGACCGGCCAATCGATCCTGACTTTAGGGCTCCCGATTTGCACGGCCTGGAGCACCGGTGCCCCTCGCAGCGCCACGCTCGCCCGGCGGCGGCCCGCGGCCCAGCTGCCGGCAGGGCGCCCGAGGCCCCGCGGGGGGGGTGGGGGAGCGAGCTCCGTCGACCGGGACGTTTGGGAGGCAGACCCCCTGCCATCGCTCGGACGTCCATTTCCTGTGTGTTGTTCGGTTTCGTGCGTGTTTTTTTCGCCGAATGATCAAGGATGCTCCTCGATGGACCTCGCCGAAGGAAAAATGCACACGTCCGAGCGATGCCAAGACCCTGCGCGGATCACCGCGGGGGCTGCTGAGGATAAGCAAGAGAAGCAGAGCCTGCAGGCGCCATCAGGTTGCCCGACGACGCTCCGTGGGAAAGCTGGAGGAGGCATGGCGTGGCGACGCTCGCCCGCCTCTGCAACTCCGATCAAGGCAGAAAGGCAAGCCAAGCAAATCACGGGGGCTCTCCTGTAATTTGGGGCGTCTGCCCCAGACCAGGAGAGCCCCTGTAATTTGGAGGTTTTGCTGAGGGGGCATGGGGACGATAGGCGGATGCTGAGGTGGGATACATCGGGCCTCACCTAGCTTGCAAGAGGTTCGGGGCCACATGCGAACCCTACCCCTACCCCCCACGATTTCTGAGGGGGAGGGTGGAGTTCACTTCGTTCGCATGTGGCCCCCTAGGGGTTGCAAAGGCCCTGAACTGATTCAGGCGGATTGATCGCTCCGCTAAGTGGGCTCTGCCCACTCAGCCCGAATCGTTGCCCCGCTGAGCCGCTGAGGGCCCTCGCAGCCCCCTGATAAGCTAGATCAGGCCATATATATCCTACACTTAGGATCCCCTTAGCACCACCCGCGGTGATACAAATGGGAGGTCTTCGCAACAAATATTGCGAGTTCATCTGGCAAGCTTACCCATCGGTCCCAAGAAATAGGTAGAAACATGAAGTAGGAAAGCGTTGAAAGTAGGTTGGCTTCCGTCCGCCCCCTTGGGAGGACCGAAAAAGGTGAAGCCACTCGATCATTGACGTAGGAAGGCGCTGAACGTAGATTGGAATATGGACATCCAAGAATACCTACTCAAGAATACCTACTCTCAACGACCGATGGGCACAATCGTGCCACTTTCACCTCCGTCCACCGCTCTCAGCCGCCAGCTGAGACGGCGCTGAGCCGAGGAGGCGTGCACGGTCGCCGCGACTTGCGTGACATCGAGATTTCCACTCGGGCCTCGCCGCACCTCCCCCCCCTCCTCCCTCCCCGCTGCAAGCAAACTTGCGGGAGTCAACAGACAAAGTGCGTCGAAGCTGGATCAGCCCAGATTAAACCTGGGATTGAGCTGGAATTCATTGGAATTGGCCAGGTTATGCCAGTATCCAATCCTGAGTATACCAGCGACAATGCTGAATTTGACTTCCCAAGAGTTGCATCCCAAGGACGCTAATGATAAATGAAGATGTGAGCCACCGTGGACCCCAAACAGTGTGCTTCTAACAGTCGATGTTGTGCAATCTGCGTGGTCCAATCTAAGCTGTAACATCTATATTGGGCAACCTGTGTGGTGCATCCTACGAGGTGCAATTGCCTTGGACGTCCTCGCGCACGACCAACCCCCCAACGCTCGCGCAATCATCCCGCCCACCCGCCCGCAACCTGGCTTGCAGTACCACGTTGCGGCGGCGATTGCGATGGCTGCTTGGCGCTGGCTGGTGCATCGCTTCGGCCGCGCCAGCGCGCGCAAGCTCGCGCGCAGAGCGGCCAACTAGTCTGGCGCAAACGCCGCGGCCGCGGTGGCGGTGAGTGCTGGGCACTTCCCCGCGCGTGTTTCGCAAAGCCCCGGCGACGCGCGGTCACATCCGGCCGAGGCGGCGACTCGGCCGGGCGATGCAGCGTGGCGACGCCGGCGACAGAAGACACGCTGATGATGGTAGTGATGCTGGCGACGATGGTCACCGTGCCGACGAAAGGGGAAAGGACGACGCCGATGCTGATCATGTCGATGACGAGGATGGTGACCTCGCATCGGTGATGAAGGTTTTGGGTGAACTTCGACATGCGCGCACGGTCGACGCGCGCGAGCGGCCCGCATGCACATCAACGATTTGACAGGAATCGTGCCCCCCCAAGCACGCACGCAAGGGCGTTCGAGTAAATTCGACATGCGCGCGCCAAAGGCACGCTGGGTCGAACTCGATTCAAATGTTGAAAGAATCACGGGTTTCTAGAATTCGCAAGAGCGCGAACGCAGGTTGTTTTGGAAATTCCTGTTGCGAAGCCCTTGTTTTTTATGCCTCCGGGAGACTCGATATCGAAATTCGCACGAAATCTGAAACTATCATGGCGAACGGCCCAACC